CTATGCAACCACCACCATCTTCATCGCCCATAAAGAAGAACTTGAAGCTTTACGAGTTGAGAATCAGTGACTGAGGAAATCACAAGAGCATAGGCAAACTCCTTGAAACCCTATCTGAATTAACCCGGTTCTCTATTACGAGATTGCCTTCCTAATGTAATATTAATTTGGGTTCATTTTCGATTCAATTCAATAATCATTTGATCATTGAGTTCCATATTATATCAATCTATGTTTCAAGTTTAGATTTTGAGACAAATAATATTCATGTTTTGATCATAATATTTTCAGTTGATGGGTTTTGAATATAATCTATTTTTGCATAATGTTTTGATCATAATATTCATGTTTTGATCATAATATTCAGGGGCAAACTCTCAACGTCGTATTTTGGAAATTAGGGAGGATATAAGGAGGGGTATTGTGGATGGTCAGGTACGACAAGATTATATTGTGGCTAAAGAGAGAGAGTTGCATGATGCATTGAAAGAGGAAGAAAAATATTGGAAGGTGAAATCACGGAACACATGGCTTTAGGAGGGTGATAAAAATACAAAATTTTTCCACGCCCAAACGATACAATGAAGAAGAAGTAATTGTCTACTTGTTTGGAAGATAATAATGGATATTGGCATAAAGACCCTCGTAGCATGCAAAATGTGGCTATTTCTTACTTTGAGGATTTATTTTTGTCTGATGCCGTAAGGAGGGGTGGGGATGTCACGGCATGTGTGGAAAAGAAGGTGGGGGATGAAGAGAATGAAGAGCTTATTCGTCCATTCTCGGATGAGGAGATTCGGATTGCAACCTTTCAAATTTCGGCGACAAAATCACCAGGTCCAGATGGGTTTACGGTCGGTTTTTTTTCAGGACCATTGGGAGGTGGTGGGGGAGGATATCATACGTATGGTGAAAGCCTTTCATCATTCGGGGAAGATGCTTAAAAAATTGAATCATACACATTGTGTTAATACCGAAGGTGAAGAACCCGCGGTTGATGTCCTAGCTGCGACCTATCTCTGTGTGTAATGTACTGTATAAGATAATTGCTAAAGTCTTGACTATGAGATTAAGGAGAGTGATTGCGAAGGTAATTAGTCTTAATCAGTCTGCTTTTGTTCCAGGTTGCCAAATACATGATAATATTTTGGTGGTTCATGAAATTCTTCATTCTCTTAAACAAGGGGTGGATGGGGTGGAGGGAAGTATGGCGATTAAGTTAGATATGGCTAAAGCGTATGATAGGGTGGAGTGGGGTTTTTTATTGGAGGTTATGTTGAAGCTTGGTTTTCACCCTAAATTTTGTGACTGGATCTGGGAGTGCATTTCAACAGTATCGTACAGTGTTTTGATGAATGGTGTCCCTTTGGGATATATTCTGCCGACAAGAGGACTAAGGCAAGGAGACCCATTGTCACCTTTTTTATTTCTTCTTTGTGCGGAAGCACTTTCTTCGTATATTCACAAATATGAGTTGGATGGGTTGATACATGGGATGCGGGTATCGGTGGAAGTAGAGCCAATTTCTCATTTATTCTTTGCAGAAGATTCCGTCATCTTTTGTCAAGCTAATGAGTATGAAGCTAGTCGGGTGATGCGCATTTTACAGGATTATGGTGACTCTTCGGGCCAGATTGTTAACTTGGAGAAAAGCTCTATATATTTTGGGAAGGGATGCCCTAAAAAACAAAAAAAACGAATCGTTACGATGATGAATATTCAAGCAAGAGATGGATTCGGCAAATATTTGGGGCTTCAGGCCGATTTTGGGCACTCAAAGAAGGCGGTTTTTGAATCTGTTAGACGTGGTATTGGGTCCCGTATTGACGGTTGGGCAGAACAATTCCTTTCTCCAGTGGGTAAAGAGGTCTTAATCAAATCGGTAGCAATGGTTATGCCAAATCATGCTATGGCTTGCTTTAAGTTACCGGTTGGAACGTGTAAAGAACTGGAACAAGTTATCTCTCAATTTTGGTGGAGGGGGCAATCGAGAACGAAATGGTGTCCTTGGGTGGCGTGGGATAAGATGACAATGAGTAAAAAGTGTGGTGGTTTGGGTTTCCGGGACTTGATTTGTTTTAATTTGGCTATGCTAGCAAAGATCAGTTGGCGGGTATTACATAATCCTAACTTTGTTCTTGGCCACTTACTTCGTGATAAATATTTTCCTGCCACTTCTTTTTTGGAGGCTAATAGGAGGAATAAATCATCGTGGGGTTGGAAATGGATTTTACTTGGCCGTCAAGTATTACTACGTGGTCTTAGGTGGAGAGTTGGTAATGGATTGAGTATACATGCGGCGAATGACCCGTGGCTCCCAAAACCCCATACATTTCGACCTATGATGCAGCAAAGGGATGTTGATCCGCTTGTGCAGTCCCTTATTGATCCTGTGACTAAGGAATAGAAGATTGAACTTGTGACTGAATTGTTTAAGCCGGAGGATGCTGAAATTATTAGGGCTATCGCGATTAGTCAAAGTGGCTGTGAAGATCGACGTATATGGCATTATACGAAAAATGGGCTATACACGGTTAAGTCAGGATACTTTGTTGCGCTTGAGATGATGAAAAATGGGGAATTTGGTAGGAAGGGGGGTGGTATGTCAAGCTCTTTGTGCTCGTTGGATGGTCTTTGGCAAAAAACATTGATGTGAAAATTATGTTGACACTCAAATTAACCCTCTTTTTATCAATTGTAGCAAAGTATGTAAGTAGGGATCGTTCTAAACCGCGGATTATGAGGGATTGCAAAATCACTTGAAAACTGACTCAAATACGTAAAAACAAGTTTAAAACACTAAACTCGACTCAAAGAATGCAAAACTAAACTTTAAAACACCAAAACAAACCAAAAGACTCAAAACAGCCCAGAAACACTCAAAACTGCCTTAAAACCACAATCTGGGCAGTTTTGAGCACTAGACACAAACTTGGACGAAAATTGGTTTTAACTTAACCTAAGACACTTAAAAACACAAACTAAAGTGATTTCTAACTACTATGACTCAACCAAGTAAAGGGGGATTGATTTTGGACGAATTTAACTTTGAAAACAGAAACTTTGAAAACAAACTTTGACAAAAACGTTTTGATGAAAAATTAAGATGGTGAAAGGCCAGTTAGAAGGTTCCTTCTCCACACATGAAACATATGCATACGACTCGATTTCCAATTACTCTTTCAATAAACCATGAATGACAATGCCCTAAATTAACTAGATTGACCAATTAATTCTCAGATTTCCCTAGATTCATTGAATTGAATGGGATACGCATTACAACCAAATTATTCTTATCAAGGACCCTAACTATGGAATACGCATGATAGAGACACATATCAAAGATCATTAAGTTCAATGGAAATCATAAGCATTGACGAGGCATTCATAACTATGGGATACGCATGTTACTCTTGCCTAGGACTTACTTAACACAATCGTGACTAGCGACTTTTACTACTTATGAATATAAGTTAATAACGATTAGGTGAAATTCCCTTATATTCTAGCATCAAATTCATGCATGCAAACTAAGTGTCGACCCTCAATCAACATACATAAACATGTTATCAACCAAATAGATAAGTAAACCACATTCACGATTTATGAAATCATAATTGGAAGAAATCAAGTCATATAAAACATATGATCATGACTTTGAATTCCCCTCTAACTATAAAGAAATTAGTTCCTCATGTTCGCAAATAAACAAAGATAAATAAATTTAAACATTAAAACAAAGATAGAAAACACCTAGAATCGCTCCACAATCCAAGCTCCTTGAATGGCATGCACGGCTCCAAGAGTTCTTCCTTCTTTTCCTTGCAAACTCACGGCACAATGAGGTATGTTTGAGTGAATGGTGTAGTGAAAATATGGTAGAGGATGGTGAATGAAAGGGTGCGGCAAGGCCTTGTATTTATAGGCTGAAAATCCCATCTCCTAGGTAGCCAAGGACAAGGTTTTAAAAGCCTAAGTTGCATAGGATAATAACATACAATCCTATAAGGAAAACAAGTCAAAAACCCAAAGGAATTGGGAGATAAGGTGTGGCACAAAGAGTGTGAAATGATAAGGCTTCTAGAAATCTGAAATTCCAAGGGAAATAAGGTATAGGGTGCGGCACTTATCTAGGAAGGGATAAGGCTTCTAGAAATCCCATTTTAAGCATCCTAATCTAATTAGAAACCCTCCTAAGTGGCTGAAATGTGGATAGTTTAGGATAAGGATAAGATAGGATAAGGTTTGATTGGATAAGATAAGCTAAGATAAGGTTATGGATGAGGTTTTGGATAAGATCCTTCTCTTGAGCTGATTCTTTGACTTTACTCTTCTTCTTCACATAGGAAACCTTGCTTGAGTAGGAACTTCATTCGTCTAGGAATCCATCTTCAATTAGGACTCCTTCAGTGATTAGGAATCCCAATTCATTTAGGAATCCTTCATTCAAGCCATTTCCTTCTTCAACTAGGAAACTTTGTATCTTCAATTCTTCAACTTTGAAACACATTCCTAGCTTCATCAATCCTTCAAATTCGTCCATCCTTTGTGCTTCATGTGCATGAACTTCATTCTAGCCCAATTTTGCTCCAAAATGCTCCAAATTGCGTCCTTTTGCTCACTTTGTCTCTAAAACCTGAAAACACATGAAAATAGCTTAAAAAGACTAACTTAACTAAGAAAACACAACATAAATGCATAAGAACTAACTAACTAAGGCGCATAAATATGCTCCTATCAAACATGGAAGGTGATGGTTCCTAATAAAATTAGGTTGTTTCTTTGGCGAGCTTGCCGTCATTCTCTTGCCGTGAGACATAACTTGGAAAGGCGTCGAATTCGAGTTAAGAATATATGTGAATTATGTGGAGCTACTGATGAAACAGAAGCACATATATTCTTTAACTGTGACTTTAGCTGAGCATTTTGGTTTGGCACATCATTACAAATTGATATGAGTTCTTTTGGGGCACAAGACTTTCTGGGGGGGGGGGTGGAAAATGCTATTAGACCGTGTGGGTCAGGGACAGGATGTAGATTCAGTGCTTCAACGAATTGCTTTTGGTTTGTGGCGTATATGGAAATGTCACAATGAAGCAGTATTTAACGATAATCGTATCATGTCTCATATTGCAGATGAGTTGTGGTGTCGTCAAGTATCCGAGTTTCAAGAGGCGATGGAAGTGGATAATGGGGAGGAGGATAGAAGTGCACACCAGGTTTTGGTGGGGGATGGTTCCCAGATTGTGATTAGCGCAAAGGGATGGACGAAACCTGAGTTTGGCAGGTTAAAATTAAATACTAATGCAGCATGGCAGAAGGAAACAAAGGTAGGTGGCGTAGGGTGGGTCTTGCGCGAATTTGCAGGAATTCCAAAGATGGTGGGAGGAAATGGTGGGGACTATTTCTTGTCATCAGATATGGCTGAGGCGGCAACCATAAGACAGGGACTGCAGATGTGTGTTTTAAGGGGATTTCATGTGTCTGGGGAGGTTCTGGAGGTGGAGTCTGATTCGGAAGGATTGGTTCAAATGTTAAATAAGGAGATTCAAGCTGATGTGTTGCTGGAGGTACATTTAGTTGATATTTGGAATATAATGCAGTCATTCCAATCGGTGAAGTTTATCTTTACCTCTCGACAATACAATCGTGTAGCCCATATGGTGGCGGCGTACGTTCTTAAGCATGGTGGGAGTTATGGTTGGGATGAATTAGGACCTCAATTTTTGTTTAATATTTTAGCTGAAGATGCAAATATTTCCATTCGTATTTGACGTTTAATACATTTCTATCCCTTGACAAAAAAAAAGAGGAAAGTATGATGGATTTGACTGTTGTGATAGTGTGGTGGCTGTGACTGGTGAGAAATGTGATAGTGGGAGCGGCCTTTTATAGCCACACGACAGAGTCATGACTTTGATATGGAAAGCATTAGGTATGATTTTCTGAAATTCATCGAATTTTCCCACCATCACATTTCGTGCCCTAGAGATGGAAATTCTTTGATATGGAAGGCGCTGTTCGCTAGCTTCAGGAAAAGGTTCGTAATTGTTGTTTACCTGTTTTAATGGTGAACTGCCCATTTATACATTTCCCTAAAGATGTAAATAGAGAACGTCATCATAAACGCACATGAGTAGTTAATTGCGTTATAAGGACTAATTTTGTTTTATTTGTAGTTTTAAATTAAAGGAGTTGTTGTTGGTATTTCAAAAATCTTATTTTGCATACCAAATTTTCTATAATTAGAAAGAAAAATACACTTGTAAGGAATGCAATCCAACTTGAGAAATGCTTTGCTAATTAACCTTGACAGCCTAATGATTCGTTGTTACATAACGTTAAAAAACCAAAGCTTTATTATTGATGTAACCATTAATATTATGGTATAAGATGACGTTCTCTATTTACATCTTTAGGGAAATATTTCGTAAAGCACTACAGACTCGTAATCACTTGAATTTTTCATCTTATACCATCAAATTACTAAGATACTAAAACTATTTTTGTATTATGGTCTAGTGGTATAAGATGAAAAATTCAAGTGATTACGAGTCTGTAGTGCTTTACGAAATATTTTTCAACAGTCGTATAAATTTGTAATAAAATTTTAAAAGAATTAATGGGGTAACAACACCATGAAAAAATAGCATTGGCCTGGAGACATGTAACTGATGTAAGACATCTGGCACCACACCTCCTAATTTTTTTTGTGAGTGAGGATCCTCGCCAGATCCTCAAATCATATATGTTCATCGTACATCGTACGGTCAGAAATTATTGTAAATTTTTTTTATTTAAAATTGAATATAAACAATACTAAACGAAAACTGATCGCACAATATACGATAAACGAATGTGATTTGAGAATCCCCGTAATCCTCGCAAAGAGGATCCGACGAGGATCCTCTCTTTTTTTTGTTGGCATATTCATAAGCCTTTTAGTTAATAGGATACTAGGTGGCAGACCCTTATAGGATAACTGTGGAGCCAAAAATAATCACAAGGCGACACGTGGATTCTTGGGTAAAAGAGGATAAAAATACCCTTGAGGCATACTGGGATTCCTACGCGCGAGCAGCGGGCAATCATCCCTAAACCAAGTCAAAAGTGCCCAAAATAGGTATCAACTTAAAACCTATTTCATTCCATATATTTCTTACCTCTTTTTCCCTCTTTTAGCTAATCAATTAGCTATTTATTTTATTCTTTCCATAACTTCTATAACCTTCCTTCTAAAAATCATGATAAATGGCCAATTAAGGGGTTAATTGCCTATTTAATCCCTTAAATTGTCAATTAAGTGATCCCTTTGACCCATAAAACACCACATGGCTGGCCATCCTCCATGTTTTCTACCTTTTCTACCATATTTTCCCTTTTTAATTACCCTAATTAAACCTAAATTTAACCCAAAAACCCTAGCTAGACTGACCACCTCCTATCCCTATATATAGGCTCCCATTTCCACCAAAAAGCAATTCCAACACTTTGGCAAAAATCCCAAAATTCTCTAAACACTCTTTCTCTCTAAATTCTAACTTTGGCATCGGAGGTTCTTTAGCCAAAGCCCCCCTTCATCGTGGGTGTGTGAGGCTTTTGGCCTTAACCTACGGTGTTAATTGTTTTGTAGGTGCAAAATTGTCCAAGATCAAGGAGGAAGAAATTTGCATCCACAAATTGGTGCTTTCATTGAGAGTTGAAATTCATACTCGTAGAAGACTCTCGCACAAAAAGGTTTTTTCTTTATTTTCTAGTCCATTTGAATATTTTTCATACGTTCTTATTATTAGAATTTTTTACTTGCAAATGTTCTTTGATAAAACGTATAAGCAAAATATAATGGCTAGAAATTTAGAAAATTCCACAAGTGAAAATTCTAATGTTCAAGAAATGGGATTGCGGAGATCCGTGAGGCTAAATGCGACAATAAATGGAGCAGCACCACCACCACGAGTTTCCACCACGGGAACCACCGGTAGCCACCCGTGGCGAGGTCCATGGTGCTTTCACCACGGCCCAAGCTATGCCATCCAAGGCTCATGGCACCAAGGCCACGGCCCAAGCTGTGCCATCCAAGCTTGCACGCGTCCGAGCCCAAGCCTCGCATTCGCATGCATCACGCGCTGAGCAGCCTGCTCCCAACGAACTGCCCACTTCCGTGGTTCAGCCTGCTCTCGACGAGTAGCCCACTCTCGCGGCCCAGCCTGCTCTCATGGCCCAACTTGCTCTCACAGCCCAGCCTACTCCTGCCAAGCAGCCTACTCTCGTAGCCCAGCCTGCTCCCGACGAGCAGCCCACTCCCGTGGTTCAGCCTGCTCTCGTGGCCCAGCCTGCTCCCGACGAGTAGCCCACTACCGTGGTCCAGCCTGCTCCCGTCGAGCAGCCCACTCTCATGGCCCAGCCTGCTCTCATGGCCTAGCCTGCTCCAGTGGCTTTCTAAGCAGCCCAAGTAGGCCCAAGACTATCTCAACCATCCGGACCTACCATCGAGCCGGGGGCATTCTCACCACATTTTTTCACGGATTTGACATTTTCCAACTCAAATCTCGCGCACGGAGTCTACCACCATTCCACTGCCCAAGGAGACGCATTCCTTCCAAGCTTTTCCAATCCAAACGGCAAACAACACTTGTCTCGACAAGTCATAGAGTTGACAAGCACCCTTGCACAACAGACAACCTTGGTGAATCAACTTTTGCAACGCATCGAGATCCAACGTGCCCTGGACGAGGTATCCCGAAGTAGGACAAGGGTAGACGAACCTTTCCAGCAGCGTCCCGGTAAACAGCCACTCGACCAACCACGAGCCGAACGTTCGGGTAGTGTAAATTTCTGAATGGGCCATCGAGATAGCATATACTCTTGTCTTAGCACGCGGAGGAGCGTGGACTCTAGACTAGGCCCACGGATGAGCATACATTCACGGTTGGGGTCACACTCCGATAGTCAACATGAGTAACCTTTCGGGCAAAGTGTTCATTCGCAGCTAAGCCTGCAAGGAGCATCCTCCACCTCACATCAGAGTAGGTAGCATGACGGACGGAGAGAAGCAGTCACTTAATCCAGCTCAAGTTTAACCAGTAGCCTGCGAAGAACTCGCTCACCTGCTATGAACGCACCACATGTATTGCATCTGCGGCATAAACGAGCCAAACACATGGAAGAGCAGCCTAGACCAGCAAGTCATGGCTAGGGGCAGCCGAGAGCTCTGTTACCCCAATAAAGGCAAATTCAGGAAGAAGTATAAAGACTCTTGACTAAGCGATTGCATGATTTCTAACGCAACAAGGTCACCGACGAGGCACTACGACAGAACATGACCAATATAAGCAGGTCACCCTTCACGGATGAGATCGAGCAGTCAGAGCCTCCATGCAATTTCAGCATGCCACATTTCTCATCTTCAAAAGGGATGAAGATCCGGAGAGACACTTAAAGTGCTACTGAAGCGCAATGATCCTTTATCGAAACAACGATGATCTCATGTGTAAGATATTCGCCACTACTCTACAAGGTGAGGCACAAGATTGGTTCTACACCCTGCCGCCACAATCTATCCAGAATTTTGACAAACTTTCTTTGGTTTTCACCAAAGAATATTCATCCTATCGCTCGATAAAAAAAAAGTCCGACCATTTGTTCGACGTTAAGAAAAACCCAAAAGAGGCGCTTCGCGACTATGTGAGGAGGTTCAAAGCAGAGAAGGCAAAAATAGTCGGATGTAACGACTCGATAGCTAGAGCAGCCTTCCAAAAAGAACTTCCAGCAGACCACCCACTGTTCGGAAAACTGATAATGAAAGAAGATCTAACTCTGGCAGACTCTTTCGCTCTGGTAGAAAAGCATGCACTTTGGGACGAGGATTGCCAATGCACATTCAAAAACTTAAAGAAGTACCCGACGTCACATCCCTACTATCCAAACCGGAAGCAGCAGAGGACTTATTCATGTGTTTGACGGTACCTAGAGCAGCAATAAGCTATATCATCATGCGAGAAGATCTGGGGGCCCGACTACCTGTATTCTATAGTTTGAAAGCTCTCATCGATGCTAATAGAAATTCAAAAGTTAACTTTGGCAATATTTGTTGTAACCTGAAAGCTCTCCTCACACGCAGTCATCATCATGACGCACTATTCCGCCGAATCCAGACGCATGACAATAAAGGTGAAGACCTTGGAGGATGCAAAGTTTTATGACGAACGCAACAACTCGGCCCAAAAGACACGCCAAGGGCAGACGAACAATGGAAAAAACACTCATAAACAAGTTTTATCTTCGTCGCCTCAGAAGATTCTACATAAGAGCAACATGTATTAGCAGTTGAACACTACCTTTTGTTGCATGTCACACGACCCTAGCCGACCCTTGCTTCATTATTCAGCTCTAGAGTGGCCCAATACCGACAGTTGAGCATCTCCTGCCACATGTAACATGACCCTAGTTCTATGGCTCCCTATCGCGCCTTCACGCCTAGCCTTGACAACGTAACAGAGCGGCCTAATGACGCCCCAAAGGTAGCTGAGCACACTTCAGCCGCGCTTGCTCCACCTGATGGACACTTCTGGCATTTGCATGTCAACAGTGCATCCAACTACAAAGGTTCAGAGCAGACGTGGTCCTTGTCACCCCAGGCGGTTTGATCCCCGAGCAGGTGATCATTCTAGGTTTCAAAGCATCTAACAACGAAGCAGAGTACGAAGCCCCACTAGCAGGCCTTCGAATGACAAAAGACTTGGCGGTGAAAAAGCTTTCAATTCATTCCGATTCA